TGTTCCATAATAGGGCATTAAACATATAGCCCTTCAATTACAGGAATTTTAGAGCTCGAAAATATGCACAGACTGGCTTCTCCATCGATCTGACCATTAACTTGTCTCCATTGTGATGGCAAGTTTACTTCAAAGGCAAAACATTAACATCTCCATGGACACAAGCAGGTGGCGGGCCCTACACCAGAAAAGTTACACAGTGCACCTTTAGTCTAGTGTGTTTTGATTGCCTGAAAAATTACAGTCTGTGGCTTTAAGGCTTTTTTTTTTCTTTGGATGTACTGAAATTAACCTTTAAATGAAATTCTTTACGCCATCCTTGCAAGTCTCCAATGCGTTTTTGAATCAACGGTGCGATGTACTCTGAAGCTAAAATACTACCAGTGCATGCATGTTAAGGACCAGCACAAAAGTCAGGAATTTACAGAACTCCAATTATGAACATTACGTGACAGGAAAAAATACATGGATTCTGAACCAAGCAGAGAATTACCACAAATGTCCAGGGGTACGCTCAAGATTTATACAAAGTTGAAGAGTGAAATATATTCCCACTCGAGCATGGATCATTAAATGCCTCACGGTGTTATGTAAATTACCATGTGCATATCTAATAAAGTAATATGGTGTTCAGAAGTGGCCTGGGTCTGCAGTAATGATCATTAAAGTGGACAGGGTGAGCCAGTGGAGCTAAAATAAGCTGCTCTGCTGACATCTAGTGGGCTAATAGGGTAATTGCAAGCTAAATATTTTATAAACATTTGAGATCAGTTTTGATTTTTAATTCAACTAAACTATATTTTAAAAGTAATTTTAAAAGTATACGTTACATACGTGTGTACACTTATTTTTAATCTATGTTCAAATGTTGTTTCCTCACAAACATCCCTGGAGTGTGTTTTGTTCACACCTGTTTATTTATAGTTATGCATATGTCATGTGGTACATACATACTAGAATTATTTTTGATCATTTCACATCTGTATTTGCCTAATTTTTAAGTTACAGCTGTTGATTTTGCCTCTTTGAAACTGCTTCACTGGTTGGAGCACCAACTGATATGAAAGACTTCCTCCTGACAATCTCAACTGTACATAGGGTAAAATAATTTTTTTTCAAAAATACAAGCCACACCTTATAGTTATGCTAAAGCAGGGGTTTCAAACTTGCAGTCTGAGGGCCAACTGTGGCCTGCAGAATTATATTTTGTGGCACCCTACTTCAAAGTCAAAGTTTAGTGTCAGCATGGCTCGTAGTAGGAGGTCAGCATTAGAGGAGTGCACTGAGACGTGCAGATTCACAACAGCAGATTTGTGCACCTTACATCCCAAACTCAACTTTCAGCTGTTGTGAAGCTATGAGTCCAGGTGTATCTGTTTATGCATGTACACATGTACATGAAACAGCACTGAAGAACCAAAGTAACTCGGACTTGCTTGTACATGTGCTTCTGCCAACTCCCTGCAGCATTTAGCTGCTGTTTAAGTTCAGGCTCAAAACAGTTCTGTTTAACTGTGCGTATGACTGAAAGATTTTCATTCCACACTCTTTTTTCTAATTTAATGTCTCTCTCTCTCTTTAATTTTATGATGATTATTTATGTTTTTATTGTGATTTTAAAGTATTTCTTATTCTGTAAAGCACTTTGAATTACTTTGTGTACAAATTGTGCTATACAAATAAACTTGCCTTGCCTTCCCTAGCTCCTGTAGCCACGTTATCAGGGTAAAAGGTATTATAGGCCTTCCCTCCAGAGGGACTTTGTGCTTTTTAACAGGGGTTTAGGAGCAAGGTTAAGGTTAGATTAAAGGTCTATTCTGGGACTTTTTGGGGAGGGACGTTGCCTGTGTATCTCATGAAATTGTTACTGTTTTTACAAGCATCTTTCACAGTTTAATACAAACATACTTATCTTTCATTTACTCTATTGCATGCACTTTTATTTCCAAATAATACTTTGTTGAACTCAGTTCCCTTTGCATCTCGTAGGTTTTAAAGTTTCTCAGTTCCTCAATACAGTTTGAAGAATACCTGGTCCATTACAGAGTCATCAAGCTCACCACCTCTGTGAGTATGGACGAACAAATTCTGCTTTTGTCTTTGTAATTATTAGACTTTTATTGAGACCACAGGGCAAAAAGTCCATTATTTATTTTTTTATTTTTAATTTTTTTTCTGAAATCAACTCTGCTTCTGCTTTTTCTCAAGGAAAATACATCCAGGAAGATTTATGCAAGAATAGACTTAAGTCAGCCACACATTTCAGGATATTTCTGCCTTAAACAATTTTTAATGAGCGACTTAAAGTGCACACCTCAGACACAGGGAGAATCTTATGAAATTTAAAATAAAAGATCACAAAGACTGCAGCGGGATATGCCTGCGGACCACAGGCTACACAGTTGTGAGCACGATCGGGTCAGCTGTTTCCTGTCTGAGTAAAACCACTCGCTTTGAGACTCTTAAGTGTTCAAAAGATCAGACCGCTGCACTTCTAGTTTAGATAGAATTGCAGCTTAAATTGTAAATTCTCCTGTAATGTGTGGCAGCTTTTACTTGAATAAAAGTTTTGGTTTCTTTTCCCACTATGAGTAAGTCTACAAGTGGTAAAACCTTTATGTTGACGAGATGAAATGATCTGAGCATTTGTGTTTCTTGCATCACTCCTTCAGATTTTATGCATTATTTAAAGTTTTGTCCTTCAAATTACACTAACTTCAAATATGAAATCATCAAATGTTGCGTCCCAACAGTTACTCTGTAAGTTGCTCTTACCTGAGTAATTTCTTGGACCACTATTTTATTATTATTATTATTATTATTATTATTATTATTATTATTATTATTATTTATTTATTTTATTTATTTTATTTTTTTTGAGGTACTATCCAAGTACAATGTTTGGCTACTTTAACCACCTCTGGAAACAAGAAGTTGGAAATAAAAAGCCACAGCCCGACGTCTCAGGCTCCACCTCCTCGTCCTTACAGTAATAATTCTAATGGGAATGTACATGAAAAAGAACAACCACAGAATCAACACAACACAAACTGTGTAATTCTTGCCTGCTCCTCCTTTGGGATCAGACCACAGAATGTTTAGTACTTCAGCCTCACAGCAAGAGGTCCTTGGTTCGACTCAGGTAGCAGATAAGATGTGTTGTTTATCAGGATATACAAATGATGACCTATTTCAATTCACATTTGTTTTTCATTTTTGCTGTGCCATGTTAGTTTTTTCCTTGTCAAACTGTAATTGTGAAGAGTTAGATATACTAATAAATTATATTACTCACATCAGATTTAACTGTTTACATTTTAATAATCTTGATTTTAAAACTCCATAAATTCTATATTAAACTGTTTTTTGGGTGTGCATGTTAACATAGCCACAGACTCCGCAGTATGACTAACATAAAAGACGATTTTGTAGCTGCTCTGAACACTGCAAAGAGCAGTCCCTGAAAACCACACATTAATATGTGCTGTTTGTGTTTCCCTCAGAAAATTGGTTAGGCAAGGAGATGCTGGTGAAAGTGATGAGCGGGGGTGACGGCTATAGTTTTGAGAGGAGGATTCATGTTGTTCAGAGGGACGTAGTCAAGGTGGGGGCCTCTTATTGTCAAGGCTTAACTCTAAAACGCTGTGGAAATCACTGGTTTACATGAAGAGAATAGTGTCAGACCAATCAGATTTTAATGAAACGCTTCTACCCCATAATATCAGTATCATTTAAGCACATTATTAATGTAAATAAAGTCATGTTTATGACTTTATCTCCTCCAGGTTGGACTACTGTAACGCACTCCTCATGGGGATACCTGGCAGGAGCATCCAGAGACTGCAATACATCCAGAACTGCGCTGCCAGGATCCTGATGAGGGTGTGAAAATTTGACCATATCACCCCCATCCTGAAATCCCTTCACTGGCTCCCGATCACACTCAGGATTGAGTACAAGGTCTCCCTCCTCACTCACCAATGCATCCACGGTCACTCCCCCCAGTACCTTAAGGAACTCCTCACTCCCCAGTCCCCCTCACGCACCCTCCGCTCTGCAGCCACCAACACTCTCCAACCCCCCAGAACCAAACTTTGCACCATGGGTGATCGGGCCTTTTCCTCTGCAGCTGCAAGGCTTTGGAATGCTCTCCCCGACCACTTGAGAGCCCCACAGTCTATTTCTGTTTTTAAACAAAATCTTAAAACGTACCTTTTTACTACAGCCTTTTGTTAATTGTATTTTATTCTTGTTTTATCTTATTAATTCCTGCACTGGTTTTAGCTTGATCCACTGTTTGCTGATGCACTTTTTTTACTCATTGTTTTTACCTGTAGCACTTTGAGATTATTTTATGTAAAGTGCAATATAAATAAAATGTATTATTATTATTATGTTTAGAGTATATATTCTGTATGGTTTTGTGCCACATTATCTGCCACATTTGGTGTAAACAACCTGTATAAATCTATTCACCTTATTCCACTCCGCCCCCTTTTGTCTCTAAATCTTGTCTTTCAGCACTTCCAGTTACATGGGAATTCCATTCATTTCAATGGAGAATTTAAGAAAGGTTTTGCAGATTAAATATGACATAAAGTACAGGTTCACTTGTGTCTGTATTGAAGCTGTTAGGATCAGCAGCCCCTTACAAAATAATACGACCTGAATGATGATGGTGGCACACACAGCAACTTCCAGAATAAGGTGAATGACAATAGTAATAAGGTGACTGGAACAGGAAAAGCAAACAGTTTATTTTACACAATCCAGCAGTGTTTTACATGTGTCCTTCGAATTGCACATGTTGCATTTAGCAGATTAAAATCCCATGAGACGATGTTGATGATGAACTGATCTTAAAAACCAGAAAGTTTACCTACTCAACATAATTGTTTTTACATTTCACACTTTTGCAACAGAAAATAGCAGTAGCAATAGCAATAGAAGGTACATGTATGTGTAAAATACAGACTACATAAATACAAACAATCAGTCTGTCATTGTTGCTCTGCTCTCACATAGGAGGACACACACATGTCGTAGCTCTGTTTCATTTTTCTAGAGGAGAAATTCAGCGCTGCATAGTTAACATCTGCACTTGGGCCCTGCAAATGTGTTGGAAATTTAATAAAACATCTGAATCATAAACAAATGCATATGTAAGAAAGAAATAGTAGCTTACCACATTATCTGACATCTCATGCTGTGTACTAGTAACACTGTCAGGAGAATCTACAAAAGAATTTTATGTTAAACAGATTTATTAAGATATTAGCTGCATATGTACCATCTCACCTCTGCAGTGTGCACAGAGCCTCCCTCTCGTCACACAGAGGACGATGATCACGAGAACACAAACACCCAAAAGGCCTGACAGAGCCACAATCACCAGCTGCAGTTGCAGCACTAGGGGTTCATCTAAAAACATGTAGATTACATTTAAGTTATAGTTTATTAATCTGGTAAAAGCCTTGTTCATTTCTAAAGCATACGTGGTGGAACATTTATTTGAATGGTGAAGTTTGACTAAACTGGAGTTGCCTGGGTATTTGAGGTAAACATGTAAGATGGAGCGTGACAAGACAAATTCCAATGAGATCACAAATATCTTTTAAAGAAAACTCACACTCTGTCTCACTCTTTATTTACTTTTATGAGACAGTCAGCAGGAATTTTCTGTAGGTTTTCAGCTAAGTGGATTTCTCCCTATGCCTTTTGCCCACCAAAAACTAATTATCAGATATCACAAGAATGTTTGTGAGCCACATGTATTGTTATGGTGAACACTATGTATACAATGTGAACAATGGCATTCTGTAGATGTTCAGACAGTAATCACTTGAGATGCTGTAGTGATCTAAAGCTCTGGGTGCTCACCTGAAAAAAATATATTTTATAAATCTGGTAGAGAAGCCTTATTCGTATGTGTAGCACTGTAACTGGAGTTGTGCTAAATCAGTCAAGTTGTTTGGGGAGGAAAATGTAAATTTTTGGTTTATCACTTCATTTTAAAGAAACATCAGTCTGATGTATTTGAGGTAAACTCCTAAGCTGTGGAGTGACAAGACATATTCTTGGCAGTTTGTAAATTCAAAAATATCTTCTTAAGAAATATCAAATGTTAAAATGCTTCGAGGAGACAATTATCCACAGACTTAAATATGACTTTTAGAGCAAATATGACGTACCTATGTCCAGTGTAGTTCCTGTCCCAAACAGGATATGTCCACATGTGTGCACAGCGCAGTAATATGTCCCAGCCTCAGACGAGTGTCCTATAGTTTTGGACAGACTGTAGACACAGCTGGAGTTTGTAGTTTGGGACACAAGTCCAGTTTGAGGCTCCACAGATCCAGCTCTGAACCAGTGCACCTGCTGCTGTTGTGGACACTGGATTGGGCTCTTGTTGCTTTTGGGCTGAAGTGAACACTGAAGAGACACTGAGTGTCCTGGGACCACTGAAGCTGAGGATGGACTCTGTGTCACATGAACACAGCTCTGTGAGTCTGCTCCATCTGTGCCAAAGACAAAAGTATACGGAGTCAGGAGCTACTCTTTTCTATTCAGTTAGTATTCTAAGACTTTACCATTAACAACCAAGAAGGTGCCGTTCACAGAGATCTCTCCATATACATTAATTATGCAGTAGTAGATTGCTTCATCCTCCTTTCTGATATTTTGTATTGTAAAAACAGACTGATGATCCTCTTTGGTGAATTTAAACCGTTGGTCCTCGAATGATTCATCAACAGGTTTTAAAAATTCATTTTTAATAACCTCCATCATACGTCCTGGGGATTGTTTGTACCAGTAAATATTATAAAATACAGAAGCACACCGAAATGTGGCACTGTCTCCAGGTTGGACCACAGTCACGGGTATTTGGTCCTCTGCGCTCTGACCTGTAAAACAAAGCCATGTATCACCATGTTTTTCACAGACTCTGTTACTGTAGTTTTACTTACACAAGGTGCTCAGGAAGACAAAGGCAGTAAGTGGTCCAATCATGCTTCTTCTGATGTTCCAGACAGACTTACATGTGTATTTGATGTCTCCTCATCTAAAAGCGAGCTTTGAAACACGGAAATTGTAGCACACCCCAGCGTAATGAAGGGTTTCGAATGTTCTATGTAAAGCTTCATAGAACTAAAAGTTCTCTAATTTTGATTTAATTTTGTTGGATCAAAACAGTTGTAAATATAAATGATAGTTTATAAATAAATAAGTCAAGAAGCAATTAGGAGAAGAAGCAAAAGGAAAGTGTACAAATATGTTAAAAAATACAGGATAAAGAGTGTTCTAAAACATATTGATGATCTCACCTCAAAAGTTAGGCACAATTAACATGTAACAAACACATTTTTTTCTGATACTTTAATTATTTCTTATGTTTTTATTTGTCAAATAATACATTCTTGGTTTTGGCCTAGTGTACTACATGGTTATGTGATAGAGAAAAGTTATGTAATTCCCTTGTGCAATGTCACAATTCCTTGTACTGAAAATATACTGTAAAATATACTGTAAATATACTGTGAATGGACATAGCTGACACACTATAAAAACTGTTTTGCCCTCGTGTGTGTGTTGAAATTAGTGTCGAGTATTAAGCCTTTTCCTTAATTTTTGAGTCTGTTCTATCTGGTTTTGGTTGGCCGCGCTGTCACTGGCTTCTGGCTGCAGAGTCTCCATGCTCCTGCCTGGTCCAACACACAGTCGCTCCCACGTGCCAAATTATTGAATACACAAAGCAACTCAAACCAAGTAAAATACATTAAAACCATGGATGCAAGAAATAATAATATTCACCAATCAAACCTTTAGGCCACAGCCACAGCGCAGTAGTATGTCCCAGTGTCACTGACGTCCCGGGTAGTTGTGGATAAACTGTAGACACATGTCCTCTGTTCCAGCTCCTGAGTCTGATCTCTTGAAGTGTAGATGATGGCTGGAGATTCTTCAGCTGCAGATGTGAACATTTAGAAGGACACTGCAGTGGAGAGTTGTTCTTGGACACAAGAGAAGAGGTGAGCTGCACTGGACCTCCCTGAGGAGATGACACCTGTGGGTTTGTTTCACATAGAAAATGTGATGCTCTTGGTCTGTAAATCATTAAAAGAGAACTATTAAAAACAAAAACAGAAATTAATTTCAAAACCTTTCCAAGAATTATCAACAGAGTAGTCGTAACAAAAAGCATTTGTATGCTGATCCATCTTGGCAAACATAAGAGGCTTCATCTTCTTCAGAATCCAACAGAGCATTTTGAGCTTTGGAGATGAAGACAGACTAATAATAATGGATTACAAGAAGCTCACAATAATTCATTTTGTGTAATATAATATAATAATAATATATATATTTTTTTAAAATAGTGTTAAGACATTTTGCAGAATATCTACTTATTGTTTTTTTTGCTGTTTTTTTTGTTTTGTTTTTTTCCCAGGGGACATTTTATTGCCTATATAATTGTAGCCTTTGTGATTTGTAATGGCACTAAGTGAAATTGCAAATTAAAATGTTGACGTGAAGTGCAGCCCTACACTTTACACATATTGACATGGTTAACCTTTCTTTCTTTTCCCCTTAACATAACAGTAGAGCGTGTCAGCTGTGTTTGTAGTGTGAAAGACCACTCTAGCTTCTGTTTAACCACACAGCACACAGCCTGCAGCAACAGGATACTGCTGTAGTATGCTACTACATACTTATACTTATACTTTCAGAAACTACATTTAAGACTAGATCAACATGCAATGATTTAGTCGTAAAACAAAAAAAAAAAAAAACAAAAAAACGAAAGCAAGGTACTCAAGCATGGCTTTTGAAATACTTTTAGAAATAATTAATATAAAATTGAATGATTTATAATTAATTACATTTGAATATGTAGACAGATATGGATACGTAATGGAAAAGTCCAGGCACTGCAATAACATATCCATTTAGAGCAGAGGTGTCTGAATTATTTTCATCAAGCGCTGCATATCGAAACATGAGCGAAGCAGAGTGCTGATCGAGGACCATAGACTGATGGTTAATACAGCAAATAACTCAAATATGTGCACCAACAATGTGATTAGAATGAGACACCAGACATTTAGTCATGTGCAGATCATCTTTAGAACACATTCAGTATTTTATTATGGCTTCAAGGATTCAAGATTTTCAAAAACTTGCTGTACTGTGGTACTACTTTTATATATATATATATATATATATATATATATATATATATATATATATATATATATATATATATATATATATATATATATATATATATATATAAACATAATTATATGTATTATATGCATATGTAGTATATGTAATTATATGTATATAATTTACCTGGAAGCATTAGGGTCAAGAAAAACTGGTTTGAGGACCACATTTGGTAAGCATTTGATAGACCCTCCACCTTCAAGAAACTGCTCAAAACCCCCTCATTTAGGACTGCTTTTAAAGGGCCCATGTGTTATAATGTTGTTTCTTTGTTGAAAACAGACCTGAAGTTGTGTTTTGTTTCATTCATACATTTAACGCCCCAAATCCTGCATATTTAGGCTGAGTTCTTCTCTCAAACTGAAAGCACTCTTTTTCCTGTGCCCTGGAATTGCTGATCTCTACTGAACTAAAGGTAAAAGGAGTTGTTAACTTGAAAACTACAGCTTCATGACATCACATCTGTTCCACCTGAACAGAGCATTTTGTGCTTTGGAGATTTATGTAAAATCCCTCAGTCGTCCAGGTACAATCCATAACAAATGGAGAAATTCAATTTTGGTCCAGTTTTTTTGTCCAGTTGACAAATTGAATTTCTCCTTTTGCTTTAGAGATGTAGACAGACTAATAATACAGGATTACTCAAACATGTTTGAAGGAAAAAAAACACAGCTCTAGGTATGTTTTTGATGAAGTAACAACATTTTATTATTCTAAAAGCTCACAAGAGTCAAATCATGCCTGTATCTTGTCTATTACCTTATTTTTTATGTACTCTTTTTAATTATATCCTTGTACATCATCTTTGAGTGTTTAGACTTTAACCTGTCCTGCTCAGTCAGTTTTTATTTGTAAAAAAAAAAAAAAAAAAAAAAAAAAAAAAAAAAGCCAGTGGTGCAGAACAGCTTCTCTCCACAACGACATCAGGCAGAAACACTTTTAAGTTTTAAAAGACAAAACTTCTTCCAACCACTTCCTCCAACTGTCCCAGCTACTGCTCACTGCACAGCTGTGGTACACCTGAAAAGTACTGTATGATGAGCCAAAATAACATTGAATTTAAAGAGGTGGAAGTCTGAAAGTTGTATTCCGTGGGCTGTATGGTAATTTAAATAAGAAGGCAAGTGTAATCTCCAAATCTATTGCCAATTCTGAAGCAATAGTATAAGTTCCTGTACTGGTTTCAGTACCAAGCACAGGAAGTCAGAGCGTTGGTGGGTCTGAACTTTCAACTTTTTGATTCTTTGCAGCTGATCTTATCAACATTTCCTGAGGGTGGTGATGCTCTGTTAGAAGCTCTGTTACTCAACTTAGACTTCATCTGAGCTTTATTTTAACACAGTCTGACCAGAAAGAGCTGACTTGGTATTGTAATATTGAGCAAAAAACAGATGCTCAAATTTTGATTTGATACAGTATTTTGTGTATTTGTCAATGTAACAAAGTACTAGTACATCATTACATTTACTTGGGTAACTTTTTAAAGAGCTTGTACTTTTCTGGCTGTATACTTTTACTCCAGCTTGAGTCATATTTTATTGCAGTAACAGTACTCTTACTTGAGTAAACATTCTGGTAAAGCTTTATGTTGACAGTGCTCCTTATGTTTAAGTTTTTTGTTTTGTTTTGTTTTATTTTGTTTAGTTTTTTTCACATTTTGTGTTTATACTTTGGAAATACAAAATTTTGTGTATTCCTGAAAATGTATTCCTTCATATTATAGTAACTACAAATTATAAATCAGATGTTATGTTACTCTTTTACTCTTATTAAAGTAAGTATTTAAGTTTTTTTTTTTTTTTTTTTTACTCTTACTTGAATAGTTTCTTGAACCAATACATTGGAATCACTTTGAATTAGCTTTCTCTGGCTCCAGTGCAGAGATACAGTATTTTGTGTATTTGTCAGAGGTAGGTACTACACTCTGTTACATTTACTTCGGTAACTTTATAAAGAAATTGTACTTTTCTAGCTCCATATTTTTACTCCTACTTGAGTCGTATTTTATTGCAGTAACAGTATTCTTACTTGAGTAAACTTTTTTGCAAAGCTTTATGTTGACATTGCTCCTCATGTTTAAGTTTTTAGTTGTTTTTTTTTTTTTTCTCTCATTTTGTGTTTATACTTTGGAAATACAAGATTCTGTGTATTCCTGAAAGTTTATTCCTTCAGATTATAGTAACTACAAATTATAAATCAGATGTTATGTTACTCTTTTACTCTTATTTAAGTAAGTTTTTTTTTCTTAGCCTTAATAAAGCATGAACAAAGACTTAATTAATAATGAACAAAGATTTAAGTAATAATGATTCACATTTAGTAAATGCTTAATAAAGCACAATTTGTCTTCACTTTAGAATGCCTGAATTATCATTGCATTGTATTATTAGTAAATCATTCTCTCATAGTTTACTAATGATTAATAAACGCTCAAATGGTTAGTACATGAGTAATTAAGTATGAAATAATTATGAGTAACTATTTACAGCACAGGCAAACTAAGTGCAAGTGCTAATTAAGGTAGTAATTAAGTAGTTACTAAGCATGAATCATTATTAATTAAGTCTTTGTTCATTATTAATTAAGCCTTTGTTCATGCTTTATTAAGGCTAAATAAGGTGTAGTTATTATAAAGTGTTGCCTTTTTTTTTTTTTTTCACTCTTACTTGAGTTAACATTTTAACATTTTGGCAAAGCTTTATGTTGACAATGCTCCTTATGTTTAAGTTTTTTTTTTTTTTTTGTTTTGTTTTTCTCATTTTGTGTTTATACTTCGGAAATACAAGATTTTGTGTATTCCT